GTGTGTGTGTGTGTGTGTGTGTGTGTGCGTATGCGTGTGTGTGTGTGTGTGTGTGTGCGCGCGCTCACGCGTGCGCATCTTCCCGCATCCTACCACATCCTGCAGCATCTTTCCGCATCCTCCCCGCATCCTCAGCATCCTTCCACATCATCACACACCCTCCCGCATCTTCAGCATCCTCCCATACCCTCCAGCATCCTCCCGCATCTGTGCGTCATCGGTCCGCGCAGCAGCAGCAGCATCCCCGCAGGGCGGCGGCGCGTCATTTTACAGCGTATCATGCTCTCACCTCGCCGCTAAATAAATTTGTTTATTTGACCTTGCCGCTAAACCCGGATTGTGCGCCGCGGGAGGCTGCGACGCTCGGTTTCGATTTTGTAGTTGCCATATATGTATATCAAGAGTAGATAATAACACAATAATGTGTTATTATGTACTCTTGATGTATATCATCTTCTCTTTTTCTCTCTGTATACTCTCTGTATATCCTATTCGCTATTTCGCTCTTTCTTCTTCTCTTTTTTTCTCTGTATCTTCTCTGTGTATACTCTTCGCTCTTTCTTCTTCGCTCTTTTTTTCTGTATTCTCTCTAGATCCGTATCCTCTTCGCTCTTTCGATTTTTCTTCCTTTTCTTCTTCTCTCTTTTTGTGCTGTTTGTCGTCCCTTTTTTGTATATAATCTCTTGACTTGAAACGTCTATCAATGGCTCTCTTTTCTCGTCTCTTCTTTTTTATATTTCTCTTTCTAATATAACTATCTCTTTCTCTCCGCTCCTTTTTCTGTGTTTCCCTTTCTGCTGTTTTTTCGGTCACTCTCTCTTCTGTCTCTCTCTCTATATCTATCTATCTATCTATCAATCTATCTATCTATCTATTATCTCTCTCTATCTATTTATCTATCTATCTATCTATCATAGATAGATAGATAGATACTATCTATCTATCTATCTATCTATCTATCTATCTATCTATCTATCTATCTATCTATCTATCTATCTATCTATCTATCTATCTATCTATCTATCTATCTATCTATCTATCTATCTATATGTATGCGCCGTCAATCCGATGCCATTAGATTCACGGTATGTGTGTAGGCAAGCTGACGTGTATGCACGCTGAGGAGGAGGAGGCATGGGAGAGGCTCCCTCAATTACGGTTACACTTCATCACCGCATCGAGTAGCTCACAGTAACTTGGCGTTGATGATTACAGTTTTGCTAGAGCTTTCTAAACGTCCAACTAAACGTCCTCTAAAAAAAACCCAAATAAATGTATGTAGCGCGATGATAAGAACCTTCTACGATTTCAGTTCTGCTAGAAGGAAAGTCGAGCGCAAAAAAAACTCAGCGCAATAGTAAGAGTACTTTATCATTTTGAATTTCACAAGCATTTCACACAAACATTTCCCAAATCGTTTACGAATTCGCTCCCACAGAATGTGAATACAATGAACAAGATGGCCCATTGTCGGAAATATTATATAAAGTTATGTCAGGCTAGACTGACTACTCGTACCGTTATATTTATACGACTTTTATGAATCTGAAATGTCACAACCTTTCAATGTCATTTACACTATAAAAAGTATGATATTTTTGACTTATGATGTCATAACTATACTTAGGTATATGATGTTTTTAACAACGG